GAGGACCTACCGAGCCAGTGTCAGAGAGGACATTGTGTGGTGGACCTACCGAGCCAGTCTTGGTGAGGACATTGCATGGAATCTAGATAGAACTCTCTTTTTCTTGCCTGGTTTTTCTCCGTCTATTTCCAATTTCCGGCTTTGCTATATAATTTCTGTTCTGCTAATCTGGCCTTGATGAAATTTGAACGGTATCATGCTTAGTTGCTATAAACAGCATAAGCCGACAAGCACCGATATATCCCCCCCCCCCCCCCAGTCCTTCTCCCTCTCGCTGTCTCTCCCTCTCTCTCCCCTCTCTCTCGCTCTCCCCCCCCTCTCTCTCTCTCTCTCTCTGTCTCTCTGTCTCTCTCTCCCTTTCTCTCTCTCCCCCCCCCCTCTCTCTCTATGTCTGGCATGTGTTGACGGTCGGTTATTTGACTCATTCCAATCGTTATAATCCCATGACTACCGGAAGAGTTCAGTTGATGGGCACCTCTTTCAGAGCCCGTCCATTTTTGTAAATCTTTCGGTGTATTGTTTCTGTCTGTCTCAATTGTCCTGCTCCAAGTGACCGTCTCTGTGTCGGTGCGCTTCTCTGTAGTCCAAACTCTTTATCTTTGACAAGCAAAAGGATTCAAATAAGATATTCTCAACAGAATTATTGAGCAAGGGCGTAGGTGTATTTGTGTGCGTTCGTGCACGCGCGTGTGTATGCGAGAGAGAGACAGAGAGGGAGAGAGAGAGAGAGAGAGAGAGAGAGGGGGGGGGGGGGTGGTATTTGGAGAGGGAGATAGAGAAAGAGAGAGGGGGGGTAGGAGGGAGGCAGAGATGAACAAACATACAGAGAGAGACGGAGAGTAAAGAATGAGGGAGGAGGGAGGGAGGAGAGAGATAGAGAGAGAAAGAGAGAGAGATAGATAGATAGATAGATAGATAGAGAGAGAGAGAGAGAGAGAGAGAGAGAAGAAGAAGAAGAGGGATGAATGTAACCGGAGTGTGAGTGAGTCACCCCAGCCACCCGCAGTGAGGACAGGCCGGGATGGCTCGGGTGACACGCTCATGTCACTGGCGGAGCTTTGTGGGCTTCCGGACGTTGTGATGGGGAATGGAGATGTCCTGATTGATGACTGAAGGCGTGCTGATAATAAGGAGGCCGGGAGAGTGAGTTCAGTTTGGGTGAAAGGTCGGAGGTCTAAGGGCGCTACTGGATTCACCCTGTTATGTTTATTTTCATTTTTAAAAATTCCTTCAGGGTCAGAAACAGCCTCTAAAATGATCAAAATCGAAAGGGGCATAAACAGGACCTACGTTAACTTTCCCACCTTCTTGAGTGTTTTTCCGGCTGTAATATGACGGTTCTTATGCCAGTATGCTTATTTTGACCCCCCCCCCCCCCCCCCAACCGCACACACACACACAGACACCCTCTCCCAAAAGTCAAGTAAATAAGAATATGAAATATACGCTCGACTTGAATGTTACTTCTCGGCCAGTCAAGCATGTTTTCACCCTGATATGTCTGCTTCAGAGGCGGATGGTTGGAGGGTACATCTGGAAGGTCCTACTCTTTTCTGTTTCTCTTTTGTCTCAGTGTTTCTATCTTGCGTTTGTACACCGAGATTTGACCGGTATAATTGTATTATGTTTTAAAGGCTGCTGCTGTTGTTGTTGTAAATTGTTGTTGTTGTTGTTGTCCTCGTTGTTGTTGTCCTCGTTGTTGTGGTTGTTCTTGTCGTTGTTTATCCAGCAGCACGACATTTGTGTTTTTTGTCATTTTGCGTGCTGGCCCTGTGTTATGCTGCGCCTAAGTTTAGACTAATCCACTGTCCATAGGTTTTAGTTAGTTTAGTTTTAGTAAGGTTTTACGGCGCTCGCAACTGCATAAAAGGTCATATGAACCCCAAGGGTGTGGATGTCAACAGAAAAGTCCAAATGTGGAATCAGGCTTACTCTGCTCACCTCTCTAGACTCAACAGTACAAAGTCTGCTTCGACTATCAAGGCACCCCAGAAATAGCAGTTCACAAGAGAGTGACAAACATATAAAAGAAGTAGAGGAAAAATGACGATAGTAAGAATGAGGAATGAAAAAGCAGCAGTTCCCCTTATGTTTTTCCGGCATAGTATGAGCATGACATTGATAAATCAGCCCATTTACAATTCTACTGTGCATAAGAACATGTTAATATCCCCTCTTTGGGAATGGCCTAAAGACAACTTCCGTCGGTAGCACTGCCCCGGTGGGGGAGTCCATAGGTTTCCCTCAGTCGCCTTTCTTTACCGATGTCTGTGGCACAGCAGTAAAGCATTTCGTCCTCGCACGCAGAAGACACTAGTCCGATTCCCGTGTTGGGAGGCTTTTTAAATTGAGAATCCCCTTCTGTATGCTGGGATGGTGTAACACTCTCAGCTCGGATTGGGCATCAGGAGTGGGCATGGCAGGCAGGGTGGAAGCCCGTCTTCTAAAACTTAAATGACAGTAGCAGCAGCAGGAACAACAACAAAAACAACAACACTGCACAGTATCATAGCAACACTGTTATTCACGTTGCAGACTCTAATAGAGACCAATGATTTCAAAGACGACTGCAGGTTACTCCCCCCCCCAACCAAAAACAAACTAAACCATTGAACTTTGGAAATGTCTCCATAGTCCCTGGAAAGAAAAAGTGAAAGGTCAATGTCGAATGCACAGATCCTTCTAAATCCCCCAGCCCCCCAGTCTCACTTCAAACAGTGGTGAACAATGACTCGTATTAGCGGGATGCTGCAGCTGCCTCACTTCGATTATTTCCCCTGCGTAGCCCATGACCCGTCGTAGACAATGGACTCCAAGGGCGACCACCGTGTCACTGTTTGATGGATTACTCACTTGGATCTTGCGGGGGCTCAGAGGTAGAAGGTCTCATATACAGGGTGGGGGCCGAGTTCTTATTGCATTTTTTTCCCTTTTTATTTTTCTAATCTCAGAACTCTCATATTCCTTCTTCCCCCCTCTCGTTTTGGTTTCAAAGATATTTTTTCTTACGTTTTTTTTAAATCAGTCTCTTGTTGATTCAAGGGAGTCTAGATCTAGTAAAGATATTTTTTGTTGTAAATTCTTTTTGAAAATAGTTTCCATTTTCGACATGTGGAAAAAAGCATTGAAAATATTTTTGCAGACAAGTTAATGTTGAGAAAATATCTGTTTTCGTGATCTTGTGGCTTTGACTGTTGATCTCTTGATCCCGGCTGCGTGCTGAACGAAATCATCATAAATCGAACATGACCTTTTACTTTTTCAAATAACATTTGCCTTTTTTAAGGGGCGTTTTTTTGTGGGGGGGGGTGTCTTCAAACGTGTTGCAACTAGAAATTCGGAAAGGGACCATTGTATTGTGTAAGGTTCTTTTTTAAATTCACGAGCATGCCTTTTTCTCCTTTGATAAAACATAAGCGACAGCCTCTGTAACGCAGCAGGTAACTATCTTGATCACCTTGGTGATAGTTTGAGGTTCGAGTTCCCATCTGCTCTCAAAGATTTTGTGTTGTTCTTCTTGAAATATTGTCCCCCAGCCCGGAGACGTAGCGCATGTACAGGCCTACCAAGTACTCGAGTCTACCTTTGGAATGGACTTCTGATGGGGTCATAGCCTTTTATGTATTATTTTGATTATGAATACACTTACATGATCATACTACATACGATTAAAGGGGTGTTGAACCTGCACCATGATTACCCCATATAGAAACATTTTCCTCCAACCCGTAAAAAAGTGACGGTAGGGTGTGGTTGGCTGGTGCTCTGGTGTGGTTTGCTCCTTCTTTCCTATCGGACATCTATTGTCCTTATCTCTCCTCCTTTTTTGTGTTTGTTACTCTCCTACAAAACCTCTAATCTTCCGGTCTTATGCTCTAATTGTGTTGCAAGTGCTGTAAAACGCTTACTAAAACGATACATGATTAAAGGGGTGTTGCGGGTGGTTGGAGGACGCCACTGGTAGGTCCTACTTCTTAACTCTTTCTCTCTCTCTCTCTCTCTCTCTCTCTCTCTCTCTCTCTCTCTCTCTCTCTCTCTCTCACACACACACACACACACACACACACACACACACACTCACACACACACACACACACACACACACACACTCTCTCTCTCTCTCTCTCTCTCTCTTTCTCTCTCTCTTTCTCTCTCTCTCTCTCTCTCTATCTCTTATTTCTATCTGTATGTCTTACCTTTTCCCAGCACTAAGTGACCACTTTTGAGTCTGTGTGCTTCTCTTTACTCTAACAAAACAAAAATGGGATGTTGGACCTGTGCCATTCTTACCCCGTATGGAAGCATGGTTTTCCACCAATCTGTACAAAGAGTGACGCATACTAATCTTTATCAGATAGAATCGTTTGACTCTGAGCGTGCATGTGGTCGTGCTGGATGGAGATGATGTTCTTTGTTCGTTGATCCGCCGCGCGTCGTGGATGGGGGGAGTGTCCGTCATGTAACCGTCATGTCGGTGCGGCGAGGTCCAGGCGGTCAGACAAAGATGACAGAGGCTGGCGGGAGGTTATTAATTTCTGGTGTCTTTTGTTGGTTGACATACTGACCACCGGGGAGAATTGGAGACTGGGAACGTCGTTCTGAATGAATACGTGGGAATTATTTGTGTTTGGAGAGCTTATACTATCTTCTGTATGATTTGTACGATTATGAGTAGCTTATCCATCGATCTGCTCGCATTATTCCTTTTGTTCGAATATCTGCCATCCTTCCATCCTGTTGTTCATTCTTCCATCCACCTATCCGTCCACCCTTCTACCTGTCTACCTATCTTCCCGTGCATCAATGTTATGGCTATCTGCCCATCCACCCGTTTTTCGATCCATCCATCATCTACCCATCCATCCACCCACCTATCCATCCGTCTGTCCGTCGATCCATCCATCCTTGACATCCTCTTGTCAGTCTGCTGTGATGTGTTTTCGAGAATATTATGTTGGAAGGCTGTTTTATTTTTAGTCTGAAGTTCTCTGTTTCCTTGTTGTGTCTATGTGTCTGTCTCGTAAGTCCGAATTCATGTTTGAAGCACAATATAGCTGATGTG